ACACACACACACACACACACACACACACACACACACACACACACACACACACACACTTTCACTGAGGTGGCAAATTCAAGGCCTGTGGACCAGAGACAATCCTTGTTGCAAATTCATACGGCCCATGAGACACTTTAATTGCAAAATCACCAAAATTTAACAAAATATATTAATAAAGGAAGAAATAAAATTCAGACATTTTTTTCTTTTCAATACATGTCTTTAGATAAAATGTTGTAACCAAAATTTGCAGCCAGATCCTAATATGCAAGTTTGTTTACTTACAAATTTAGCCAAAGTGACTGAAAATAGATCAAATATTTGACCTGCACAAACTACAGACAGAAAAATATTCAGTCATTTTTTTGGAGGATTCAGACCAGTACTTTGTGAGTGTGTACCACATTTCAGAGTTATGTTCAATATTTATGAAAAACTGCGAGTAGTCTCTGTTAAATCGCACCATTTGATAAGTTCTGGATAACCTTTTCACAAGTTTGCTGTCATATTTTGTAATGAAGTGTTAAACCACCAGGCTTTGACACATCGTTTTTGTCATTTTGCTTCAAAAACAAAACTTACTTACTGCAGGTTTATGATGGCACTTTTTCATTTTTTTAAAGCAGAGAAAATTTATTTTTTATTTATTTATTTATTTATGGTAATTTTTTTATTACATTTTGGAAAGAGCACCAAAGAACATCCGAATGGATCTAATCAAATTCTTGCTGATGAGCTTGCAGCCAAGAAAAAAAAGAGATATCTGACTTGAGCTAATGAGCAAAAAAAATGTCTCCCTGAATATTATTTTCTGTAGTATTTTCTCATTTCAAGGTAATTAGTAGATGCTTGTTTAGATTTTTATAGAAGGATCAAGAAATTATTTTTGTCTCTGTGTTTATTTGTCTGTTAGCAAAATATCACCTGAACCTCAGGAATAATTTAATGTGTTACATCTAAAAAAAAAGTATTAAATTCATGTTTTTTTCTTTACAAATATTGTCTGGGACTAAGCTTTTCTATGTTTACCTGAGTTTGAAAAGAAAGAAAAGAAAATAGTGTACAAAAGTCCTTAGAAGTAGTTGTAAAATATTTCATTGAGCCAAACCCCTTTAAGTCAGCCCTGGAGCACGTTCAGTGTCAGTCAAACATCTGGAAACACCCACAGTTTACAAAAGAATAAATAGGTGTGTCAAAACTGATATTGTCAGTGCGCACAACTGGATTGTGTCGATTCGTGAGCTGGTAGAATGCACACCCTGAGCTAAAAACTGAGCAGGAGACATTCTATAGTGACAATACATGTCGGTATGGGAGATTGTTTGTCAGAAAAACTTTGCAAATGTCCCGAGAAAGATTCAGAGGACATGCAACGCTACTGCTGGTTATTCCAGCTGGAGATTTCTTCTTCATGGTGGCATAAAGGAGTGAGAGGGAGTATTTTCGTTTGTGTATTTAGCTGATGAGTTTTCAGGAGTTGTCCAGAACGCATCATTAAATATAGGAGTTTAAGAAGGATAAAAGATAGAGATCCTTTAATAGAATAGAATAGAATAGAATAGAATAGAATAGTCTTTATTGTCATTGAACAAGCCCATACAACAAAATTGAACATAGAAAGACATGTAGGGCAGCAGCAATATATACAGTGTTTATACAGAGATAAAAACCAATAATAAAGTCGTTATTGCTCTTAGGATGCTTGGCTGGTGTTTAGAGTCTGGATGGCCCATGCTGTCAATATGGTCATGGGAAGGGGAGAGGACAYCCAGTTATTRTCTGCAMCCTCTTCTTGTCCATGGTGTTGAAGCCAATGCTGCAGCACACAGTGACTGTGTTTGCCAGCACTTGCTYTGTTGGAGCGATAGACGGTTACCAACCAACAGCTTAGTTTCCCAGTTGTTCTGAGTACGCTCAGAAAGTGAGTGGCTTCTTAACCACCGCTGTGATGTTGACCGACCAGGAGAGGTTCGCTGAGATGTAGGTCCTCAAGAATTTAAAGTGGGGGACCCTGTAGAGTGGTGCAGGGGCAGCCTTGCTCTTCCCATAACCTATGACCATCGTCTTCATTATTTATTGCCTGGATGTTTAATATGCTCCGTAAAGGCGCACCCAGGTCTCAACACTTTGTGTTTGTTCATCCTGTTTGAACAGGARGAGCTGTATTACACACATTTTCTTAACAAACACTATCTGTAAAGTCAAATTGCTGAGTCACCTTTGGGTCTCCTCACATCATCTCATATTAGTTTTTAAGATACTTATTGACAGTATTTTAATACATTTTTAAACTAAATAAGGCTCTGGCTTGTTTTGATTTGTAATTTCATAAATGGTTTAGTTAGTTGTTGGTGTGAGTAATATCTGCACAAAGGCATGCATGCTTACAATCACGTTACTGACACGCTCCGGGTTACCTGTCTGTGCTCCTCCCCCCCGCCTGCAGGTGTTGCTGTGGATGGACCAAAGAAGACCAGCACTGACCTCAATAACAACACTATCTGCCTGATCAAGAAGAAYGGAAAGGTCAAGGCTCTGGATGAGGAGATTTACCGTAAGTTTATGCACATTTGATTTCTTGCAAATAAAACAAAGGCTATGTTGTATGTTGTGGCTGTTAGAGTCCTGGTTTGTCCACCTGATGCCATTAAAGGCAGTCGATCATGCATGTGTGTTTGTGTCTGTGTGTGCATGTTTGTTTGTTTTTTAGTTTGAAAAAACCTCAGCCACAGGACAGATTTGAATGAAATTCTCTGCAATGAACAACAAATCATTAACCTTTAGAGTCAACCTGATTCAAGGTGGCCTAAAGTGCAAACAAAGAAACAACTACATGTCAGTCAGTTTTACAGCCATTGACCTGAAGTTTGGTATAGTTGTAGCTGCGAGTCATCCCTATCACATATTCTGAGGGCTAACAGATCCCACCGAAAATTTGTTTAAAGACCTGACGTTAGGTGGTGATGTGCGTTTCTTTACGGAATGCTAGTTTTATCTTTGCCAAAGAGCCACACGTTTGTGTTTGTCCCCAGTTTGTCTAAGAACCTGAAAATGCTAAATTTGTGCGTCTCAAAGAAATTCTTCTGTTAAAGTTGTGCTCATTCTGGTTAGATTTGCTTTGTAAACGGAGTGGTGTTTGTGTTTTGCTCACCCAGAGAAAGACTTGCTGGACCTGGACGAGGAACTGTACACACACTTCGGCCTGGCTCACACTCGCTGGGCCACACACGGGGAGCCCAGCGCCCTCAACAGTCACCCCCACCGCTCCGACAAGGACAACGGTAATATGAGATTTCACAGTTTAACGCATGGCCAAAAACGTAACTACAAAATGCAGCACGGCATTTAACAGTGGTGCTGAAACATTAGCTAAAGAGTTCAAAAGTTCTGGTTTTGTAAAACTCACATTAAAATGCTGCAAGTCGTGATTGCCAGGATTTCACAATAAAAGTATGATGGTATTATGACACTGTATGATAGTGAATGAAAAAATCTCCACAGATTACACAGCTGTGAGTTCTTTGTTTGTGTTGAATTATTTACATTTATCATTGTGATTTTACAATATATTAGACCAAAATGTTTCATTTTTATGATTAATTAATGTCCTTTTAACAATAAAAGTACAATTTTTATACTTTTTATATTGCAACGATATGAATATTTATCATTACTATTTAACAGTTTTTATCCTAATTTCTAGACTTTTAACAGATTTTCAGCCGATTTTGACAGTAACTCCCTGATTTTCTTGTTTTGAGTTGTTTCATTGAAAGCCTTTAACAAAAGCTTTTAAATCGAGGATTATAATGAAACTATAGCAAACACATTGCTGTCAAGAACACATGCATCTTTTAGTTTTTGTGTCAGATGTGATGCCTAATTTTAGGCCAGTGTGGTAATAAAATAAAATAAAAGGTTTCTGCTGCAGACAAACAGTCAGAAAACAGACTAATCCTTTAATTTACCCTTCTTTACCTCGTTTTGTATTAAAATTATGGCAAGTATTCTTCAGTCGACCTGTTCGACTTGTTTCATCACATGTCTAATGAGTCATCATCAGGAGGTGTGGCAGAATTTCTTTTCTTGCTCTATTTTTAAATGAACTGACTTTTCAGCTTTTCCATGCTTTTTTTAGAGTTTGTRGTCATCCACAATGGCATCATAACGAACTACAAAGAGCTGAAGAAGTATCTGGTGAGTCAAGCAGAAATTCCTTCCCCACAGTGATAGCAGGACTGATGTTAGATTCGTCGCTTCATGTCAAAAGCTCATTTTGCACCTTCGTCATTACAGTGGAAAGGTTTTCCCTTATCTGCTGTCTGAGGAGTTAAAACCCCATAAATGAGTCAGAGAGACCTTTGGATGTGTGGATGTGTGTCATGCAGTTTTCAAAGTCATGCTCAGGGTTGACCAATTACCAAATCACAAATTACATAAACTTGATTTTTTTTGTTCCTGTCATATSTTATTAGATGTGTTTAGTTGAATTTGCTTGTCTAAAGCGTTGTCAAGCAAAACAAACCGTGCAAGTTGAACGTCTAGTTTCTATTGGCGACATGTTTTGTACGAGAACCCTGCCCATAAAACATTAATTAGTTTGACTTTACTTTACAAGCAGCTTAGTGTGTTACGTTGTCATTGTGTCCTAAAGACGCTCCRCGTTCAGTCAGACGTTTCCATTCTAGTAAACGTGGGTCAAAGTTGACTTTATGATTCTATTACTTCTCTTCAACCAGGAAAAAAGTGAGAATAAAAACTTAAGCAAATTCTTAAAGGATAAATTTGTCAGTGTTATAAATGCTGTAATTTTGATAGTAGATTAAAAAAACGTATAAAAGGAATAAAACCAACAGGATGTCAGAAATAGTTTTGAAATCAGGCCCAGGTATTAAAGGAATAGTTCAAAGTTTTTTGAAGTGGGGTTCTGAGGAAAGATTATGAACAGTTTTTCTTTTTCTTGGTATAAATAATTTTAGCACAAAATGCAATGAAATTTGTGTTTGGTAGATTATTTCTTTGTAACAATGCTTTTTGGCAATAAATCTTATAGCGGGCACCTAACTGGCAGCACCTGGGGGTACCAGAAGCTCTAAACAAGAATCAATAGTTTGGCAGAGAAGATTTGGCAATTTTTTCATGCAACCTATTCTGCTCATCCCACAAATGCATATTCCTTACAAATGTGTCCATCCGCCTGTCGATCTCCCGCTCCATTCTTCCCTCATTCATGAACAAGATCCTGAGATACTTAAACTCCTCCACTTGGGGCAGGACCTCCTCCCCGACCCGGAGAAGGCATCCTACCATTTTCCGGCTCAAGACCATGGTCTCGGATTTGGCCGCATTGATCCTCATCCCGGCCGCTTCACACTCGGCTCTGAACCGCTCCAGTGAGAGCTGGAGATCACGATCTGATGAAGCCAATAGGACCACATTATCCGCAAAAAGCAGAGATGTGATCCTAAAGTCACCAAAAAGGATCCCCTCAACACCTCGGCTGCGCCTAGAAATTCTGTCCATAAAAGTTATGAACAGAATCAGTGATAAAGGGCAATCTTGGCGGAGTCCAGCTCTCACCGGAAACGAGTCCGACTTACTACCAGCAATATGGACCAAGCTCTGGCACCGGTCATACAGGGACCTAACAGCTCGTATCAATGGGCCTGGTACCCCATACTCCCGGAGTACCCCCTACAGGAGTCCAGAGGTACACGTTGGAATGCCTTCTCCAAGTCCACAAAACACATGTAGGCTGGTTGGGCGAACTCCCATGCACCCTCCAGGACCCTGCTGAGGGTGTAGAGCTGGTCCGCTGTTCCACAACCAGGACAAAAACCACACTGCTCTTCCTGAATACGAGATTCGACTATCCGATGGACCCTCCTCTTCAGGACCCCCGAATAGACCTTACCAGGGAGGCTTAGAAGTGTGATCCCCCTATAGTTGGAACACACTCTGCGGTCCCCCTTTTTAATTAGGGAGACCACCACCCCGGTCTGCCAATCCAGGGGAACTGCCTCCAATGTCCACATGCGGTTGTAGAGTCGTGTCAACCAACGCAACCCCACAACATCCAGAGCTTTAAGGAACTCTGGGCAAATCTCATCCACCCCCGACGCCCTGCCACCGAGGAGCTTTTTAACCACCTCAGTGACCTCTGCACCATAGATCGGAGAATCCGACCCAGGGTCCCCGGGCTCTGCTTCCTCATGGTAATTGAGGAGGTCTTCGAAGTATTCTGCCCACCMACCCACATCGTCCAGAGTTGAGGTCAGCAGCGCACCATCCCCACCATAAACAGTGTTGGTGGCAAACAACTTCATGGAACATGCTGGACTCAATGTCCCCCACCACCCCCGGAATGTGTTCAAAGTTCTCCCAGAGGCACAAATGTGGCACTATTTAAAAGATAAACTAACAAGTTTCCCAACGGTATAAGATTTTGTTGCCAAGAAGCATTGTTACACCAAAGAAATAATCTACCAAACACAAATTTCCTTATTTTTTATGTTAAAGAATATTTACATACTAGGTATTTACATGGTCTCTACCAGATGCATGCTTGGTCTCTACAGAGACTGGGATGTATTGTTACATACCAGAAATGTTGCTTGTAAGTACAGGCTAATAAGTCACTTCATTATGCAGCCTACCAGGTGAGTTCCAGGTACATAAATCTGTACCAGGTACACACTTGGTACGTATGAGGAACAGTTAGTATTATATAACTCTACCTTTACTTGTTGTAAATAACTTTTCAAAAGACCTCAGTTTGGAGCAATAGATCTCACCACAAACCATATTGTTGGGCCAACGGCTAAATCCAGCAAAGCCCGAAACAAGTCCTTTATGGAAATAACTCCAATTTTAATACATTCATAGCCTTTTGTGCAAAAGCTCTGAACCGTGTAGTCAAATTCACATTATATGGTTATTCCTAGAGAGACACCACACTCTAAAGTACTACAGATTAGTGTTGTAGTCAAGACCACCTAACCCAAGACCAAGTCAAGACCAAGAACACAGTGTCTCAAGACCAAGAGAAGACCAAGACTTTTAGGGTTTGGACCAAGTCGAGACCAAGACCAAGGGAGGGCGAGACCGAGACAAGACCAAGACTTTTAGGGTTTGGACCAAGTCGAGACCAAGACCAAGGGAGGGCAAGACCGAGACAAGACCAAGACGAGATAAAAAAAAAGTGTCCTAAAAGATGGAGTATTCTGTACTCATGTACAGTGGGGTAAAAGTATTTAGTCAGCCATCAATTGTTCAAGTTCTCCCACTTAAAAAGACGAGAGGCCTGTAATTTACATCATAGTTAGACCTCAACTATGAGAGACAAAATGAGAAAACATATCCAGAAAATCACATTGTCTTGTTTTTTAAAAGAATTTATTTGCAAAGRATGGTGGAGAGTAAGTATTTGGTCAATAACAAACAAGCAATATTTCTGGCTCTCTCAGATCTGTAACTTCTTCTTTAAGAGGCTCCTCTGTCCTCCTCACATTACCTGTAGTAATGGCACCTGTTTGAACTTATCGGTATAAAAGACACCTGTTCATAACCTTAAACAGTCACACTACAAACTCCACTGTGGTGAAAACCAAAGAGCTGTGTAAAGACACCAGAAACAAAACTGTAGACCTGCAGCAGGGACTGGAAAGACTGACTGCAATATTAAAGCAGCCAGGTGTGAAGAAATCAACTGTGGGACCTGGTGAATGACCTGTAGAAGGCTTGGACTGACGTGARYAAGGCTACCGTCAGTAACACTATGCCACCAGGGACTCAGATCCTGCAGGGCCAGACGTGTCCCCCTACAGGTCTCTCATCTTCAGTGGGAGAACTTGAACAATTGGTGGCTGACTAAAGACTTTTTCCCCCCACTGTAGCTAACCTYATATAAAGAGCTAAAATTGACAAAATCTTTGTAGCAAAATTCTTTCCTCTGCTCCGAAACAGAGGCAGATTGTTAATGTTAGTGATGATAAAAGTTTAAAGTTGTCCCATCATCTCTGAAAGTGAAGCTCTGCAGAATGTACAAGTTGCTGTACGCTTTCTCCTGGTTGTTGTTGTTGTTGTTGTACAATGATATTATTTATGAATAATGTAACCAATTTTTTACTTAAAATTTTGAAGACATCCTTTACCGCTCCCAGAGAACCACTGCTCACTTTCCTGGAGTGAATGCGAGTGAAGACAGCGGGGATGGGTGACAGCCAGTAACAAAAATACATACATAAATAGCAATAAGTCAGGTTTGGATTTGAATCAGTAACTACATTTTAAATCCAATGAAAGCAAGAAGGTTAACTAAAAATTGGACAATAGTCTGGCTATTTAGTGATATTTCCACAGTTGTGGTCTTGACTGGTCTTGGAATAAAATTCAGAGTCCTCAATGTCCGAGACCGAGACAAGACCGAGTACAAATGCTGTCGAGTCCGAGACGAGACCAAGATCATCAAAAAGTGGTCTTGAGACCGGTCTTAAGATCAAGACCAGTTTCAAGTACTACAACACTACTACAGATAACTTCTGCTGCTTCTATTGATGCTCCCATATAATCATGAAATTCTATGTAAATAACCATGTAACGTGAAACTGAGAGTTGTTAACGTTTATAAAATAATGTGCACATGAGTTYCAATGAAATTCTTAAGAACTGGGAGATTTTAAGATGAACTGGGTCCACTTTATTCTTGGCCCCGCTCGGAGCTGTCAGCTCATAAATCTGGTCAGAAACTCTGTCCAACGTAAGACAATCCTTTTATTTTCACACATCACTTCTAAACATCTGAGCTGTTCCTTTCATATTGCTCTTTTCTTACAAGTTGTGTGATGGATCTCCCTCAGGTCACCAAAGGCTACGAGTTTGAGTCGGACACGGACACCGAAGTGATCCCAAAACTGGTCAAATACGTTTACGACAACCGAGAGAACGGCTGCGTCACCTTCTCCACGCTGGTAGAACGAGTCATCAAACAACTGGTGAGCTCTTCACAAACGAACCCCCCCCCCACACACACACACACACACACACTCACACACACACACCAGCATGAAAACTGACCTCCTTTTTTAAAATAACGCTATATTTCAATCCTGTTTATTAGCAGTAGCCTTTTCCTTTTTCTCCTCAGCTGAAGTGATGGAAATTTTTAATGAGCTACTTTCTGTTGAGTGTCATAAACTATGTCCTTGACTGCTCATAGGTAATTCATCATTTAGTAAATACGTTGTGAAGCAGCAGTAATTTCCTGTGTGGTTGAAAAAAGTGAAAAAACTGTTGTCAAAAAACAGCTGCCATGGCAACTACAGCATCATACAAGGGATATGATCAGTCATAGTATCGGATTTATTTTAACAAAAAAAAAGCTTATTTTCCTCTGTACAGATTGGGAATGATGGAAACCAGATTGTCCAGCCTTATACCACTGACACCCTTCTGAAAAAGTGTGTGCACACACAAACACACACTTTTTTTTTTGTTTTCTTCCCTAAATCCCACTCACAGCCAGCCAGCTCTGCTTCCAGGAAACACCACAAGCTTTGAAGCCAATGCTTTCGAAACACAGCTGATGTTATGCAAAAGARGTCCTATTCTTTTTCAGATCTGCCCTCTTTTCAGACTTGCCTCTGGTCTCCAGGAATCACCAAGCCAAATCTTTTTTTTTCTTACCCACCCAGAGAGGCAAAACAATGACTTTATGTGTGTGTTTTAAAGTTGGAAACTCTTTTATAAAACACAACTGCCTCTCTTCCCCTTTCACTTGCCAGGCGACTGCAGCATTTATTTATTTTAACWGTTTTCCTCGAAGCCAACATAAACCTTCTGCTTCTCTTCTGTGTCAAGGAGGGGGCCTTCGCTCTGGTGTTTAAAAGCCGTCATTACCCCGGAGAGGCCGTGTCTACCAGGTTGGTATAGAAGCACACGCTGACACCTCCACACGCTGAGATTTTCACGTCACGGTTTGTCCGTCAGCTCAACGAGCCAGACGAGCCACAGATGACTCACCCCCTCCCTCTCTGTTCTCCCCCCTATGAAGCAACTTCAGAAATGACTTTAGGAGACTCCTTATTCATGCTTCGTGGCTTATTTCAGCTTACAGCTCTTGAAATGAAACATGAGTCTGCAATGAGCCTCTGTGCTGTTTTTCATTTGCTCAACAGAGTAAATTCTGGTGGTTGTAACATGTGGATATTATCTGCATCTTAAGTCCAGAGGTTGAAAATCACACACACACACACACCTCCTCTGTTTCTCTTCCCTCCTGGGACACCCCCACCACCACCACCGTCCTCTGGGCTGCTTGCCCACGCCCACTTTTCTGTGACTCATTAACAGAGAAAAAAAGTTTCCTGTTTCAGCTCAGGGTGGGGTGGAGGGAAATGCACTCAGGCCACATAAAAGTCCAGATTAATTACTGCTTATCTTTTCTTTTTATTTTATTTTACGGTATATCTTTCCTGGTTCAACGAATGGACACAAGTCAGGGCAAAGGGAGATTTGCAGAGAACAGAAGAGAAGAAACGGCAGAATTAGCAAAGCATATAGGTGCTGCAGTTTGTGGTTCTGTGCAAACAGCTCACCTGTTGTTAAGGACACCTGTTGGTACAGCTACTGATAAGGTGAAGAACCTTTACTGTGTGCAGTTTCTTGAAAAACAAAAAATAAAGGATCCCGGACACGGATTCAGCAACTCAAGTAAACAATGAGGCTTTGTGGTTTACACAATGAAGTTTGTCAAATWGAACAAGGTAGAAAATGTAGCCAACGCCCCTCTTTTGCAATGAAAGATCAACCCATTCCAGCAGGGATCAGCCGTCTTCATTCCAGCTTGTCTTCCTTCTACGTCTATCTGCTTTTTAAAGAAGCACACACACACACACGACTGCTCAGCCATTTGTCTTCATTCCACTCATTTCTCATTTTCAACGGCGTAGAAATTTTACTGAATTGTGGCCACTTTTTTTGTTGTTAATTTTTTTGCAAGCATCTCAGGTCAAGCTCCACACCCCTCACAATAGTCAAAGTCCTTGCGTCACTGTGGCCCTAGAGATTAAAAAACAAATAGATACGCAGAGAGAAAAGAGGGATCAACACAAGCAAAAGACCAAGTAGTGGTTCTTGTTCCTCTAGATTTTGGAGTTAYGCTCACCTTAGAAATATTTGATTTTAAATGCAACTGTGAGAACGTGAGCGGTCATAATTTATTAATATCTTACTTGTAACAGATAGCTGTTTAAATGACCTCAGTTTGAAGAAATMYTTTAATTCTGACTCATTTTAACAAGCTAACATTTATTCTGACAATGAGATTTCTGCTGTATTAAAAGGGACATATTTCGCATGATCTAAGACACACCTCAGAAAAGGAGGGGGTTGTGGAGTTACAACAAGTAGAAATTCAGACCAAAGCATTGCWGTTCCACTTTATGAAGACCCCAACTGAATGATTTAAACGTGAAAAAAGAACAGTTTAAAAGCATGATTTGTCTCCTTTAGCATATTTCCAGTCTCAAAAATTTCCTAACGATCCATGCAGATGTTATTTTTACATGTTTTAAACTATGTCAGCTTTGCACCACATGGGTTTTCTGGCAGAAATATAAGGATATTCCTGATAGAAGTGTCCCAGGCTACATTAAAAAAAGATAAAGCTCGCTGCTACGTTTGTTAGCTGATTCATTGGCAAATAATCATAAAACTGCATGTAATTAATTGTGTGATGTCATGGCTTAATAAATAGCTTTTACATAAACTGCAATCATTATTTTGAGATTAGAGGCAGCAGTTCASTTTGGTTTTGTTGTGACAAGCTTTTAACTGCTTCTCCAAACTGTCATTTAAAGTGTAATGTACAACAGGTAAAATACTCTTTATCATAACTTTACCACACTTCAAGGTCTGACCTTTTGTTTTAAGGTTGTGAGGAGGAGAGTGAATGATGAGAGAGCTTTTTGTTTTTCCATTTAGAAAGAATCAACAGAATTAGATATCAGGATATTTAGCTCCATGTGGGATTGGATCCGAAATGGGAAAGAGTCAGGAAACCCTAAACATTCTTCTGCTAACCCAAACTCCCTTTTCTGTCGTTGCTAAATCCAACTCTTTCGCTCCACCTGGTTCAATCTTTGTCTCAACAGGAGAGGAAGTCCTCTGCTCATTGGTGTGCGAAGCGAGCACGAGCTGCCCACCGAGCACATCCCCGTCCAGTACAACAGTGGTGAGRTTTCTTCTTCTTCCTTTCTGACCTRATCCACCTTCACCGCATCCCAGARCCTTGCTTAAARGCTTGATAAATGCATCTACTGTATGTAGGAAAARGTTTTTTTGCAAAACAGTTTAAATCAGTCAAATACAATTTTGTTGTAATTCCACACACCAGTTGCCCCGATGTCTTTAAAAACAAAATATCATTCACGTTTCTAAATACAGGTATGTTTTATTTGGATTATTTAAATGATAAATTAGCAAGAAATCCCTGATTACACTTCAGAAAAAAAAATCAATTTTTTTTCAGCTTTGCTCTTAGTTTTGACTCCAAGTTTATTGCTGCTGAAATGTTGAGCTTCAGCAAACTTAAGGCCAATTTATCCTGCTCCCATAGCCAGCTCACTAACAGAGCCAATCCAACTGAACTGGACTGTGGTGAGTTTGGGTTAGGGATGGTTTTGTGAAGGTCACTGCTCCTATCAGCTC